AAGTAATATAAGCAATACTGATGTTCTATTTAGGTAGCCATAAATAGTTTAGAAATTAGAAAATGAAAACAGTTGTTTAGGAGTTGGTAGTGTCTAGTACAATAATTTTCTTACTTGTTCCTGTTTCCCCTTCCCCTAAGTTAAGGTTTTCAGTGTATCGGTGTCTACATCTTCTGTTTAAAACAAATGTAAACACTGTGTTGCATAGAACTCAAAAAATTGCACTAATTTTTAAACTTTCAGTTTTATTTTTTTCTTTGGAAAAAATCCTTTTATATTCACATAAAGATTTTTAAAATTAATTCTTTGGTGTCTTTATTCCAAGCCATGTATTTAATGGTCCCTAGCTGGTGTTTCTGGGCAATGCACAAGCTGGTTCTGTATGTTGGTACATTTGCACCACCTCAAATACCCTATTTCAGGACAGGTATTGTAATGAGGTCTGGATGTGGTGAGTTGTGCTGCTCTCCTCTGCTGTTCCCAGCTCATTGATCCCACCCAAAGCTGTCTCCCTCTGCTCAGCCCACAGACTGAGAGCTGGGCAAAGGGCCTTGTGAAGTGACAATGTAAAACCCCTCTGCTGATGGGCTGTGGAGTGACTCAGTGATGATTGCTGCTGAGGAGGGTGAGGGTCTCTGCCTGTTCTCAGCTCCACCTGAGAGGACACAGAGCACAGGTACAGCCCTCAATCACTGTTCTTGCTTTTGTTGGGAAAAGAAAACTGTCTGCCTTGTCCAGCCTGCTCTGCAAGTGATTTATGTGCTGCATCCTTATTCCCATGGCCAGCTCTCATTCCCTGTGCACTGTCCCTGCCCAGAAGTGCTGTTGGTGAAGACTGGCAGCCTTCAGCCCTCTGGAGTGAAGATGTGAGGATGAGGAGCTGCGTTGATTGCCCAGTGTGGAAGGGCCTGTCCCAGAGGGGGTGAAGCCATTATGGAAGAACTGGTTTTCCTGCTTGCTAAGGCTGGACATAAAAGCAGTTTCAGACACTGAAACCACAGTGCAGGTGTGTGAGGGAGAAGGAGGGGAAGGGAAGGGAAGAGCTGCTCAGCTGTGCAGGAAGCCTGAGCTGAGCTGCAGGATGTGTTCAGTCCTGACCCTGTTTGCATCTTCTGGCAGCTCTGAAGAGCCAAGCAGTGCAGCAGGAGCTCTGTGTGTTCAGGTGAGGAATGTCCCTGCAAGAGGAACACAGGATTACAGCCCTGAGTGCAAAGGAAAGGAGGAGCTGAGGTCAGTCACATGTTGGAGATAGTTTAGGTGGAGGGGGCAGAATATTCAAGAAGCCTGTGAAATGCATTCTTCTTTGCAATTTACCTAACTGAGCAGAGGCCTATGGAGGAAACTGTTGGATGGAGCAGCAGTTTGGGAAAGGAATGGAAACTGGGGGGAAAAAGTACCACAAAACAGTCATGACACCTGTGCACTGGAATTGTTTTGGGAGTAATGCTCACACAGCAGAAACTTACCACTGTTCCCCAGTCCATTCCAGTCATGCAACCCACTTGCAGCCTTCTCCTTCTCTCAGAGAATAAAAAGAAAGGAGTTCAGGTTTAGAAAGTCAATTTACTGTCTTCTTTCTGCTGAAAACAGATGTGGGAGCCCTTGCCAGCAGCAGGATGGAGGACAGCTGGCATGAAGAGAGGAGAGGTGTAGGGCTGGGGCTGACCAGGTTCTCCCTAGGAATGGCATGAGACAAGTCTGCATTTCATAGATGCACTGGTTTGTGTCCCACCATGTATCCTCATTCTCCACCTCACCGGGTCTGTAAAACAGCCTCAAGTTCCAGGAGCAGTATCTCAGCCCAAACTCTTGTTCCCACTGGCACAGAAAATCAGAGGAGGTGGCAGAACCCACCCAGCCAGTGCTGAAGGAGCTGTGCCAGAAGCTGTGTTCACCTGGGAGAAATTTGCTTCCTCTAGGAAGAGGTGAGTTGTACTACAGGGAAAATTGAAAAGAGGAAAAGATTGCTCTCTGCTCATTTCCTCAGCAGGAGAGCAGGAGCTGGAGGTGTGTATTCCTGGTGCTGTGCTGATTTCCTGATTTCCCATCCTGCTCCTGGGAGCTGCAGCGTCTGCCTGGAGGTCTCAGCAGGCTCCTTGGAGTGCAGCTGTTTCCCAGTTCAGTGCATTTAATGGTGTTAACCATTGGCTGCCAATCTTGGGACTGTTTCATTGTGTAGATGATGGTTCAAAATAGTAACTTGATGTTGTTATTTGCCAAGGCAGCCTCTTGCTCCTCAGACTGTTGAGTGCAGCTGAACTGCATTATGTGTTGCTGGAGCTCACCCCACTGCCCTTGGACACACCAGCCCCTCCATGATGCTGGGCAGGTAAACAGAGGATTTTGCATATTGTAATTCTAGGTGTGCCACCAGAATCATTTTTCGCATCATTTCTGTAGGAATTTGCTTTTACAGTGCCAACCTCCTGCAGTGCAGGAACAGAGACACAGGGCATGGCCAAAGCCTACAGCCCCTGCTGGACATGGCCTCTGTTGGTCTTCACTTGGCAGAACATTCATGACAAAAATGCTTTGATACAAACTTATTATGCATGAGAAAAGTTAGATAGTGACTTTTTATTTATATAAGTACATATTAAGGAAAGGTCAAATTAATAATGTGTAAATGTTATAAAACAAAGTCTGGTATTGCTCTCCCACTGTACCCAGCCACAGTGAGTGGCTCCACAGTGCAGTCTCTAGTGTCCCTCATTTTGCCAAGGTGAACCATGGCCATCCATCACCAAATTAGGAAATCCCCAAGACCGTCATTAATTTTTACAGTGCCATAGAGCAAGCCTAATAATGCCCTGGAAGCTCCCAGGCTGATCTCATGGTCTCACCAAGAGTGCAAAGTCTAATTGTGAAAAAAATATTTTACAATTGCTTTGAAAGAAATAAACCAGCCAGCCTCCTGCTAGGGCTGTCAAGGGCCTGTTTGCAGCTGCCCTGACAAAGGATTCTCCATGTGAGGGTGGTGGCCAAGGCTCCCCTAGCGAGGCACAGCACAGATCTTGTAGGGCTGTGGGGCATTTGTGATGCCCAG